CACATCAGTCTAATTTTACTGTGCTTTTGGAGTCCCCAATATTTACTATTAGCCACTTACGAGTTTCATTAGACCCCACATTCCAGAATGAAATGTTTCTCTGTAACTAGTTGAGGCACGTGTATTGTGGGGTACGATGGGGATATACCTCTGCCTGACTTCCTTTAAAGTTTATAAGTTGCATTAGCCCTGGTTCACGCCTAGGCGGTACTGTTTATGCGCATTTGTAGCATGCGGTTATTTGCGCGTTGTGCACATTTGTATGTGTGTTTTTTAACGCGTGTACATGAAGATGCACGTTTTGATTGGCAGCTCATAAAACATTGTGGGCAATTGAACGCACGCAAAAACGCTCACGAAAATGTGCAACATGCTTCTGCGAGTTTTTCGCCATTTCCAATTAAGTCTATGGGGAGGAAAAGTGCTTTTAACTGCCCAAAGAAGCTCCTGCATCTTTTCAGGCGTTTGGCATTTTCCTGCTAGGCGTTTTTCTCCTCAGGTGTGAACCAAGGCCATTGAAAGTCATGAGATTTCTTGTGTTGGGCAGTTAAAAGTGCTTTTTGAACTACTCAAAACCGCCTAGGTGTGAACCAGGGCTTAGATTACTTGGGTCTTCTGGAGCACACTAGGTTGGGTGCATGGATATGTTTTAAGTGCACTATTGGCATTGTAAAGGAACCTTTATGGCTCTTTCACCATTCAGCAGCTGTGCTGCAAAGCACTGCTGGTGTGCACTGTGTTGGGACTGCTACTGATATTCTGATACCATTGCACTGTACTCCTTTTTTTTTTATTATTATTATTGAAATGTCAGTTACAATGCAGTTCTATTTATCATCGCAGCGTTGCAACGCAACACATGGCAGTAAAAAAAATACTGCATGCCATATGTTTTAGCACTGTGGTGTAAACTCCATTAATTGTAAACAAGACAAATTGTCTTCAACAGGAACTATGCAAAATATTATCCTTTTTATTAAACAGCCGTCCGGAACAAGCTCTTAATACGTTTTGTGCTAGGCACCGAGCTTTTCTATATGTTGGACTGTTTACTCAGCACAGCCCAATGCACTGTTACAGATGCCCAGTGTATTCTTTGCTGTTTACTGATTAGCTATTATATGTGCATCATGAGTACTGCATTAGAGATGGACATTTCTCTTCTGAGTTTTTGTTTTCCTCCGTCTTCATAAAAACTTGACTTACATCCAGCTCCATTTTCCATTTTTTTGTCTAATCTTGCAGAGACCAAGGCCCCTGTTTCTGATGTTCAAACTTCAGGTATAATCTGCATAGTTGTGGGTTTTTTGTGTTTTTTGTTTTCTTTTACTAACTCACATTCTGTCCAGTGTGTTTCATAGATGCTTTCTTACTTGGATGTTGATTTTTAGCCTTTCTAGTATGCTGCATGTATAGCTAGTGAATACTAATGGGGTTGGCCATGCCAGCCTTTGCTCCCCAATATAGTGTGCAGTGATGTAACATTGTTTATTGCAATTATTATTTGTAAAACGAGAAGGCATGGCTCAATGACTGACTAAAACGGGAATAAGTCTGTAAGGTAAAAATTCATCCTTAAGGTCACTTTTAATCTGTGTAGTATCTATTACCTATGTACAGCGAATGTGTCCTCTCCTTCACCTGGTTGTTAGTTTACCAGAGAAAGCATTTGTACTTGACCCTATCATTTTTACCCCTTTTTACAAACGTAGTCAACATCTGCTGGTTAGAAAGGCAACACATTTCAGTTTCCGCACAGAATGTGGAGTTTTACAGTGATGTCTATCCAATGTGATTTTTATTTTCTGGTAACTGTTGCCCTTGACATAGCTAGTTTCACTAGGGAAGAGTCCTGGGGACATTTTCATTATAAAAAAAAAATATAGTAGAGAGAGAGAGATCCAAAAATAGTATACTTGCACTTTTAAAAAGAGGATTTCTGTAAAATCTCAATGGTTTAAATACTAATTTTTTTATTAAGTTTTGTTTTGTTGTCAATTGTCAGCTAATGTGACATTATGCAAAATGTAGTGGTACTCTTTAAAAAAAAACAAAAAAAACATTGACTTTGCTACGATGTCATGTATTCGAGATGTGATTTACCTAGAAGTGTTCACTTTTCAAACAGAACCCAGCAACTGTATTTGGTTTTTTTCTTTCATGTTTTGCATGGGCACAATTAACTTTTTCCTCCCCAATTTTTTTTCCCTGTTTATGAATTTGATGTTGCGCTTTATTAACTTCTTTTTCTGTTCACTGGATTTTAAAGCTGATGTAGTTAATAGTGCTATAGGCCAGCCTGAGGTGGAAAGTCTGTCTGCATTGCTTGCTTCTAACCTCACCCATCAACAATGTGATGATTTGTGTGTAGCATATGTTGTTGCTTCTTGTATCTCTCCTAAGCACACTATGGTTGTTCCACAAGAAACCTCTCCAACAGCAGATGTGGTCAGTGACTCGGAACAACTTAATATCACAGACTGGGCTGGTTGTCTAGAAGTTGAAGGTGTTCATTTAAAAGTGGAATGTGATGATTCCAAACCCAGTCCTGATGTTACTGAAGCAATTGAGATTCCAGAAAAGAAGGCAAAGTCTCTTAGTGAATTATCAGCCAATGGAGGTCCAAGTTCTTACTCCAAACATTTAATTTTAAATACTCTAGTTACCGACGATATTGTGCCACCAGATATCAGCAAAAGTCCTTTGGAAGTCAGTACACATAAGGAAGTATATGCTGCTACTGAAGATGCTACAAGTAATACATGTGTGTTTTCAAATATATTAGGTCCTGGCCTTGGTAACAAAAACCCCGATGTCATTGATGCACCCATTCCTGCACTTGACATGATATCTAAGACTTGTGGTCTGCCAGAAGTTAATGCATTTGCTGTCACTTCAGGAGCTTCTCATGTAGAGGAAATTTTGGGAGTGGAATTGGAGCCTTTTTCTGAACATGTGGTAAAGTCCACATTTGAGGTACATCCTCAAGTATCCAGTGTGTTGTCTGCAGCCTCACAGGTGTTGCCTAAAGATGAAGGTCTTGTGTTGGAATATAAGATGCCAAAAGAGATGCTTGCGACAGATTTTATGATGCCACTGGAGGGAAGAATGCCTGTAGACGAATTGGTAATACCATATGAGGGGGAATTAGCCAAGTGTGCTTGCCAGGTGGCACCTGAAATGGCGCTTCCTGTAAGCTCTGTGACCTTGGATGATTCATTGTGTGTAGCAACCTCCGAGAAGATACCTGAAGTAGTGCACATGAAACATTGTGAAGCTCATGTGCCAAGTGAAGAGCTGCCAGCTGTCAAAGCAGTTTTACCAGGAGGGTTTAAGGAAGTACCCATTCCTGTCTGTGAAATCAGTACATTTAAGGAGCTACCTACAATCTACACTGAAGCTGGGGCAGAATATATCTCTACGGAAATACTTGCAGAAGTCATGCCTGTTGCAGATTCTAAATCCACAAAACCATCAGAGGAGATTAAAACTCTTGCAAAACCTGAAGAACCTACGGTTGAGGAAGCTACTGTAGATATTGAAGATCATGTACTGACAGAGGAAATGAAAATGACTGCTGACTCTCAATTCAAGGCTTTAAGTGTGGTGTCTAAGGACAAACTGATTTCAGGATCTTCAGTGAGCATCTCTTCACTCAAAGTCCAGACACAGGAGGAGGATGGTTTTGCTAGTGATTTGGATGCCAAAGAGCCATCTGATGTGAAGGAAATAGCTGTTATTGCCTCTGTAGTGAAAGAGTCAGTTCGAGAGAAGTCACTAACTGCAAATGATGCAGCCAATGAAGCCTTTGAAGAAGTTGAGGTACCTTTCTCTGTCTTTAAAACCGACAACACCCCTATGGCTGACACAGAAGAAGGGGAGGCACATGTTAGCGCCAAACAAAAGAAATCAGCAGCTGAAGCATCTGCTGCCAACTCTGAAATTGTGGTGCTAACTGAAGAGGGGGCACAGGCTGCCAACTTGGAAGCAAGCTCACTAACCAAAGAGAATAGTGTGGATGTTGAGTCAGAATTTGACTCGCCACTAGTTTCAGATGTGGCTCCAGCTGCTGACTCTGAACCTGCCACTCAGACTTACAAGAAAGTTGCAGCTGCTGTGCCAACCAAGAAAGCAGCTCTGGCTGCCCACTCTGAAGCGGCTTCGCTGACTGAGGCGAATACAGATCCCCACTCTAATGCTTCCACATGGGCTGAGGAAAATGCCCTGCCTGCTGAAGTGGCTCTGGCCCCTGACTCTGGGGCCTACAAGTTGACTGAGAATGCGGTCCTGACTGCTGACTCTGAAAATGCTGCATCAACTGAGGAGGAGGGGGCTCCAGCTACTGTCCCTGAAACTGCCAAGGAGCAGGCTCCAGCTGTGAACTCTGAAGTTATGGAGGTGTCCCTGGCCACAGACTCTGAAGCTGCCGAGGTGGAGGCTCTGGCCGCTGTCTCTGAAGCAACCGAGGTGGAGGCTCCTGCTCATGTCTCAGAATCTGTGGCGGTGGAGGCCCGTGTCTCTGAAGCTGCCCAGGTGGAGGCCCGTGTCTCTGAAGCTGCCCAGGTGGAGGCCCGTGTCTCTGAAGCTGCCCAGGTGGAGGCCCGTGTCTCTGAAGCTGCCCAGGTGGAGGCCCGTGTCTCTGAAGCTGCCCAGGTGGAGGCCCGTGTCTCTGAAGCTGCCCAGGTGGAGGCCCGTGCCGCTGAAGCTGCCCAGGTGGAGGCTCTGGCCGCTGTCTCTGAAGCTGCCGAGGTGGGGACTGCGGGCGCTATGTCAACTGAGGAGGCGGCCATGGTCGCTGCATCTAAAACCACCATATCAACTGTGGAGGCTCTTGCCACTGACTCTGAAACCACTGCACAGACTGAGGAGACCCCAGCCGCTGATGAGAAAGTGATGGAGGATATTTTGGAAGCAAACGCTAAGGCTTTAGCCAAGGAATCTGCTTCTATATTCAATGAGCAAGAACATGTTCACTTCCATAATGATTTCAACTTGCATGATGCATCCTTTGCCAGTACTTATGAGTTTGAGCCAAAGCATGCTGACTCCAGTATTACACTGCCTGCTGATGTTTCACTGAAATCTATTGACAGCACTCAGTCTGACTCCCTGCTCATGATTTGCACCACTTCTTTACTCATGCCTGCTTCTGCTGCACCTATTATCAGCAATGATTTGACCCTATCTACAGATCATTCATTTTCTGCTGCTTCTAATGTGTCTTCTTTTCCTCTTCTAGCTAGTAAAGCTGAGAGTGTTTCCTCTCCTCCGCAACCTACTCCAGAGCTAGGTACAAGTCCTGCCAAAGAGCTAACCCCTCCTGCTGCTTTGCCTTCTTTAGAGCCTGTGTTCTCTGTTCCTCTTTCTTCTGTTTCTCCTCCTCTTGCCTCTGAAACTGCCCCACCTGCACCCCCTGCTGACGATGAGGAAATGCCACCCCTGATCCCTGCAGAGGTTCCTGCTGAGGAGTCAGTCTTCCAGCCTGTGGTGGTAAACATCGCTCCTCCCAAACCTCCTGTAGCCACTCCTTTGAAGGAGCCCGTGCTGAAGAATGACAAGGGTATTATACCTGGTGTTTTTTAGATGTGATGCAGTGCATGATGTTGGGCTATAATGCCATTAAAATATTACTAATACGGTGTGTGGAATTTATTAGATACATGGGTAGTTTTCTTTCCATTTATGATTGCATTTAAGTTTTGAAAATGAAGTAGATATAGCAAATATTGTTTTCCAACAATTCTCATGACTTGACAATCATTAAATTTTCTCAACTTACTATGGTGTACTTGTTGATGCTGCCAATTAGTGTAAATGTAAACCTGAGGAAAAAGTGTTCTTCTGTTTTATATACTTTTTAACATTTCACCACTTCTTTTTGTGTAGAAACAGATATATAATTTCCAGTTGCGTTCTGGCTGCTTAAGTGGTAACAAGAAAGCAATGTTTATGATGGTTTTAAATATAACTAGATAGATGCTGATACGTGTTTTAGTGTACTTCCAGGAGCACATCTATTCTATCTCCATAAGTGGATGTAAGACTTGTCTCAGATGCTTGATTATTGTCCAGCCTGCTTTGCAGTATCTACAGGCTGTGTGGCAATTCTGAGCTTATGTGCTTAATGCGACCACTCTGCTCCATTGGTGCATGTGTGGGTTTCACTGCATGGACTGCAGCGAATAGAAAAGCTGTGTCCTTTGATAGTAGGGATGCACCGAAATTTCTGCTGCTGCAAAATATATCAACCGAAAATGGCACTTTAGGCAAAAGTACCATTTTTGCAGCCACAATTGCGGTGCATCTCTAGTTTCTCTCCTCGCTGGGCGCTGCTCTTTGTCCCCTCTGACAAAGAGCAGCATGCGGGGAAGGGATTCGGCTGTCAGCGTTGTCACAGGAGGCTGAGCTCTCCTTTCCGCATCGCCTGCTTTGCCTCCTGACAGCAGAAGGAGCCAGAATCGAGAGAGATGATTTCAGCTGATCGCTGAGTGCTTGTAAATAATTGGGAACATAGTATGTTACTGTGTCCCCAATTATGAATTAACAGGAAGTGTCTACATCACTTCCTGTTCACTTATGATTGTGGACATAACTGATACTATATCCACAGTTTATGAATGGACAGGAGCACTCAGTATATAGGCTGCCTGTTCATAAGAGGTGATGCAGAAAAAGAGATTTAGGACTGTGTCCTCAATCTTTTTATTTTAGTTTTAAAAGGGAAATATCGGGGGTCTGTTTAGACCTCTGATATTTGCCAAGAGCCCCCGACTAAAGTCGGGGGTAAAATAAATAATTTTTAAAAATTAGAAAAAATAATAATTTTTGGTTTCGGCCTGACATTTCTTTTTGTTTTGGTCTGAAAATTAAATTTCGGTGCACCCCTACTTTTATAGACTTTCTGACCCTGGCTGGTCCAGACAGTAATCACACAGTTGAAGTATGTTTTATACCAAACTACAAGGAAGACAAAGCATGGCAAGAGATCCTTACTTTTAAAAGTTTACTTGAAGTTACAAAATGGATTATGTAGTGTTGCATTTTTTTTTTTAACATGAAATATAGCTTTCTCCCTGCAAGTGAATAAAAATGTTTTAGAAATCCGTGGAGCTTATTTATCAAATTTTGCAAAAGACAAATAATGCACATTAATGTTGTAGTTTGAGGTACATCTCATGAAAAGTCAACCGAGTATTGCAGTGGAATCCATTTTGTGTGAGGTTATATTCTTCTCTAGGTGAGCGCTACTATAAATTTTCTAGGTAAAAATAGAAGAAACCTCTAATTGTCGGCATATAGGCTTGGTATACCCTGGAAGGAAAACAACCCACCGTTTTAGCATGGTTTTATGTTGCTAACAATTTACTTGGAACACTTCTGGGCTGATGCATAAAAACTAGAGCAAGGAAATTTGAAGCAGTTTCCTATAGTAACCAATCAGATTAAATGTTTGATTTTCCCAGTAAATGTCACAATTTGAGGATTTCCTTGCTTTTCTATTTTTGTACCACAGCCCAAGAATACCTACCACAAATGGGTGGAAGTGTATGTTGTATTGAATGTTGTATTGAGTTCTATGTCCTAAGAAGCCTTGCTTGCCTTCTCAAAATTGTTTGTGCCAGATTGTCTACTTTAGCCTGGTAACTTTTGTCACCCTGTTTTTCTGTCTCATTTAGAGGATGGTGTGTACTAATAAGCCATACTTCACAGTGGCCATATTTCTCCATGTCATTTTTAGTAGGACTCTACTGGCAATATCGTCATTTTAGTATAAACCTGTGCTTCTGATTTCTGTAACACAGCATCAGTTTTAAGAACATTTAACTAATGAACTGCATTTTACCACTAAACTCTGGAGTGTGACAAACTGGTCATACATACTTTGCTCTTCAATATTGTCAGCTATGTGTGAATAGCATGGAGTATGGACATTTACATCTGTATTGTGCAAGCTGAAGTTGGATTTGTGAAAGTTCACTGGTGAATGCCACTAAGGTTATCTCTCTAGGATATTTGAAGTTTAGTCTCTGCTTATGTGTAATATAAAATGTAGATATCTTGGCAGTTTAACGACTTAAAAAAAAAGCTTTTTCCTCCTTACATTATAGGTTTGCTGCACTGTGAGTGAGTCCCAATGAATCATCTGTTATGATAGAAGCCTAATAATGATTTTACCTTTTGGCAGGGTCAGGAACAGAGTCAGACAGTGATGATTCTCCTCCAGAACTGGAACAGGACTCCACACAATCTTCCACTCAGCAGGCACAGGTAAAGTGCTAGTTTAAGAGATTGATGAATTACTTTTCTCTCACTGGCAAGATGGTCTGGGATAAGGATCTAGTATACCAGCCATGTGACTGTCATTTCCAAAACCTATTGGACTTGGCTGAAAACTTTTCCCTTGATTCCTTATCCTGGTTCATTAGCTTATGTTGTGCATATAAAAGCATTTTCCTATCTGAATTTTTTTTCTCTTTTATGTATACCTCCTTATTGTCTGCATTAAAGTTCTCTGCAGACAATAAGACTCTAGCTGTCCAAATCTTTGCACGCATTATTGTGTGATTAATACATCTCTGCAGTACATGGACATTTTCCTGTATTTTATCTCTTTAAAAATGCTACAAGTACCAAAATCAAATACCTGTTGACCCTGCCATCAATATACTGACCACCTAAACTAAGCCCTGGCCAGTTCACCTCTGCACTGTAGAACACCTTCCTGTGATACAAACAAGGGAATCTGTTCTCGGGTCCATTTTGACGAGAATTAGGCAATGCCAGAGACACTTGTTAAGACTTCAGTTCAGCAGAGCAAATGCTGTCGGCTCAAACAGGAAATTGGAAGCTCACTAAAATTCTAACAAATCAACAGTTTTCTGTATTTGCCGCATTTTTGAAAATGTGTGCATGTTGCAGAGATCTTCAGAATGTTTTCTCTTCTTTTAAAGGCCAAGTTCACCTTTTGCAAAAAAAAAGAAATGCATATTTAATAATATAAACAAAAAAATTATGCAATTTTTTAATTTTTGCATTCAAACCTTTGAAAGCATTGCAAGTGTGATCACTCGATGACAGCTGCAAAGCTCAAGATTCTGCATTCTCTCCCAGGTAGCGCTCCGTACAGAGTTTCAGTTAGGATATTTACCGCATCTACCTAGTCCGAGGACGGCTGCACACTGTATAAGGTGATTTAATGCAGTTTGAAGTCCATCTGTCCTTCACCATCTCTCCTAACAAACTCTGTACCTCAGTATGGGTCTTCCTGGGAGAGAATGTGCAGAATCCTGAGCTTTGCAGCTGTCATTGAGTGATCACAATTGCAAGGCTTGAATGCAATAATTAAAGAAATGCTTATTTTTTATATTTATATATGCATCTCTTTAATTGAAATGTGAATTTAGCCTTTAAACGTGTCCTTAAATCTTTTTTTTTTTTTGCTTTTGCTGCTGTACCACAAAATGTAAGACTTCTGCAATCAAAGTAAAAAAACATTTTTACGTGACTTATTTAGTATCCCATCAACTCTAGACTCATGGACTAGCTTCCTAGTTTTCATTACAATGTATTTTTCCTTTATAAGCCCAATCCATCAAAACCTTTAGAATAATTAAAAAAAAACTAAAATTTGGTTTGTATTTTCCTTGGATGGATGTTGTATCTACTGTGGTGGCGTTTTTTTAAATCGAAAATGCCTAATTTTCAAGCCCTGCCATTGGATAGAATAGCTAATTTTGGGATAGCCTGAATGTTTTTAGTTTGCATACATTAGGCTTACTATATACTAACCCTTTGCACATCTTTTTACAGCTTGCTGCAGCCGCAGAAATAGATGAGGAACCTGTCAGCAAAGCAAAACAGAGCAGAAGTGAAAAGAAAGCAAGGAAGGTAAATGATCTCTATGTCTGAAGCAGGTTATCATTAAAAATTACTAAACGTAATGACTGCTAAACCACATTTTGTCTTTCATTCATTCAAGTGACGTTAAACCCTCATTTTTTAACCTAAAACACTACTGTAATGTGTACCTTAGTGTAGTCCATGGTTGTTTCCCTTCTCTTTGCTGCTCTTCCTTTTAAATCTGTATCTGTTCTCTTGCTGGGGGAGAACTTCCCTTTGCAGCTGAATGCCTCGTCCTGTAGTGCTGGCTCAGGTTGTGAACCTGCACACAGACACCATATATCCATTCCAGAGACAAGGCAGTCTGCTGCAAAACTGAAGTTCTGCCCAGCATGAGAACAGATACAGATTTAAAAGGAAGAGTAGCAAAGAGAAGGGAAACAACCATGGATTGCAGTAAGGCACACATTACACTATTTTGTTAAAAAATCTGAGGGTTTAATGTCACTTTAAGGATAAATATTAAAGTTACAAACATTTGAGAAGAACATTCTAGAGCTGCCTCCTTTGAATGAAAGTTCCTCCCTAGGTTTAAGTCCCTGCTCCATTTAATGCTGGCTGTGCAGCTTGCATAAGCATTGGTGGGTTAAATTGCAGAAATTTCTATCATATTGACTCCATAGGTGGGTTAAATTGCAGGCATTTCTTTCATATTGACTCCATTGGTGTCGTTTGCGAAAGGTAGTTTGTGTTGTCTGTTTCTGTGAAGTTGGCATCAGGTAAGCTGCCATCAAAATTTGTTAAATATTGTTGGGTATTATTGCAATTTGTGACCAAAGTAACTTTTTCAGGCTTAACCCTGCAGTTCTACTTTGTTTTTTCCTGCCTAGGCTATGTCAAAGCTGGGGCTTCGCCAGGTTACTGGGGTCACAAGAGTCACTATCCGAAAGTCCAAAAACATCTTATTTGTCATTACGAAACCAGATGTATACAAGAGCCCCGCATCGGACACTTACATTGTCTTCGGAGAGGCTAAGGTGTGTACGGCAACTACAAGAAAGCGAGTCTTATAATCCTGTTGAAATAAGATTTATTGGTTATATACTGAATTCAATTTTATTGTAATCAGGCTAAATATTAATACAATTGTTTTTTCAACACTTCCAGATTGAAGATCTCTCACAACAAGCCCAGCTTGCAGCTGCCGAAAAATTCAAGGTACAGGGAGAAGCAGTATCAAACATACAGGAAAACACACAGACTCCCACAGTACAGGAGGAGAGCGAAGAGGAAGAGGTGAGATCTTTTTGCAGTTTATTATTAGTATACAGGATTTATATAGCGTCAACAATTTGCGCTGCGCTTTACAATATTAGGAAGACATTACAATCACCATTCAAGACAAGATTGTAAGGAGGGCCCTGCCCCTGAGGGCTCACAATCTAAAAAGTTTATGGCAGATAAACCATTTTATTTTACTGTACATAACATGGTCACTACAGTGAGCTGTACATGGCTCTTGGTATTTTGTTTCTGTGCACTGCCATGTGAAGGCAGAACTGTACAGATGTTCCTCGCTTACCGACTTACCTGTTTTGCGACCACTCGCACTTACGACGGACCGCCGATCGACCTCCGACCTTGCACGTCAACGTCAGTGCGCCGCGTCGCCGGCGGAAGTGGTGTCCTCCGATCTTCACTGCGGGTCCCGGTAAGTATTTTCATTGCCCGATGCACAGTACACTGTTCGGTACTGTACATCGGCAACGCTATACAGTACTGTACTAATGCAGTACAGTACTGTATAGAGTTCCTCACTTAACGACCAATCCGTTTAACGACCTGGTCGTAGGAACGGAACTTGGTCGTTAAGTGAGGAATACCTGTACCACGTAAAATTAACATTAAAAAACAAATTCTGAAATATGTTGGGCTTTGAGGCTCTGCAGACAGACTAGACAAGGGCTTTGCCAAAATTTTCCTAATGTTCTCTGTCAGCTTATCAAGGGTAAACTTGCTTATTTTAGTATAAAATTGGACATTAAATAAAAATGGTAGTATGCTGCTGCGGAAATGTAACTTTGGGTTGCAGTACATGTGGTAGCACAAGGGGAGGTCAAATCACAATTTTGGACGTAGACTATCAGAATTGGAGCCTACTGCCACGTACTAGAAGGCCGAGGACAAGCTCTTCCATTCACCACAGAAAAGGTAAATAGGTGTATATACAGGGGTGTGGAATTCCTATCGCCCGACGCCCGGGACATGCAGTTTCGGGCGCCGGGCGAGTAGTTTTTATGTACATTTAGCCCGGCTCCGGACAAGCAGAGCTGAGTGTACATTGTGGGGCAGCCGCCGCTCGTTTACTACAAGTGATCTGATCAGACCACTTGTATCAATTTGAGCAGCGGCGATCGTTTCTGCCCAAACCCCCGCCGTAGTTTTCGGGGTCCCCCGCTCTCCTGGGGGACCC